AAAGAAAAAAAAAAAAAAAAAGGGAAAGAAAAGAAAAAGAGCAGTGCAGGACAATCAGGACAGGCCAGAAAAAAGCAAAAAAATATATGGGACGAGCCGAACTGATGACCTCCTAATCACTGGTATGTGAAGTTGAAGGTTCATACGATTATTAGGGTTTTCCATTATATATTCTTTGATCAAGCCATAAAACAATAATTGCGGGGATAGCTCAGTTGGGAGAGCGTTAGACTGAAGTTTACTTCGATCAGGATAAGCCCATCCGGGTTATCTAAAGGTCGCTGGTTCGATCCCGGCTCACCGCAATTTACTTTTTGCATCCCGATTCACCCCATATTTTTTTGGATTGGTATTGGGAGAAAGGGCATCCGCCTAGAGGGACATGGCAACCTTCCTAATTAGGTTCAGAACTTATATAATGGATATTCTGGGTAGTTAACTAACTAGTTACTTGTAAAGTTTTAATCTATACTGTACAGCCTGTATGTAGAGCATATGCTCGGATTTGTGTATGTAGAAGTTGTTCTTTCATTAAAGTGCGGAAGTGGCCGATAAGCGGGAGCGCTCACCGCTTTGGGCAGAATCGTTGATAAGCGCTACACTGTTCAGTACAACGACTTTGATCTACTATACTAAAAGGTCTACTTTTCTACTTTTATATAAGTATTGATCTCAAGATTTTAGATAAAGAATTATTATACTATTCATACGACTTTTACTGGCCTTAAAATAGTCCAAATTGGTTATAATTTAGCCTACCACTAATAGGATATTAATGCCTTGACTTAGATACGTACCGCTGTCTAGGTTTAGGGATAGTGTTACTGTTACCGTCAGTCGGTCGTTCTGCCGGAACATCTCGTTCCGCCTTCCGGGCGGGTCTCTATAACCCTAGATAGGTAGGCGGTAGGTAGCTGCCCTATACCCCTAGGCGGATGTCCCGATGCCAATCCTTTTTTTTTATGCACTATAGATGTTTCTCTACTTTCATAGTCCCCTTTCATATTAATGTGGCTGAAATTAAACATTATCAAAAACATTATGAAGACGGTTCATTATATCTGAAAATTGCTTTGCAAATGCAAGCAGGAATAGATGCTCTCACGTAGGAAAGTAACAAATAGTGCGCACCAAATATAGGAGAGATTCGCACAAGGGCTTGATTGGCTTATGTCCTGAGTGGTCCAGCGGCTCTATTTTTCCTTTTTTTTTTTTTGTTTGTTCATTTTCTTTTCTTTTTCGTTACGCCCTGCGGCTAATGCTGTTAGAAAATATCTACTATTCGGGGTAGAAGACCTGTCAACTAGGTAAAGGTACGTAGGCGGAAAGGTAGGTAGTAGATACTGTATAGACAGGAGGCTGATTCTTACTTCTTTCCCTACTATCAACACCAAACTAGTAAATTTTCAAATTTTCAAATTTTCAAATTTTCATAGTGGGCCTCTACTCATATTAGAGAATGACTAATATCAATAATTCGCCCTTATAGCTCAGTGGTATGAAGCGCATCACTCGTATTCTTGAGGCATGATGAGGTCCGCGGTTCAATCCCGCGTGAGGGCAAGTCTTTTTTTCCCCTACAAAATATCATCAAATGTTGACGGTCCTGGCTAGTATTATTGTACCATTAACCTAATTAATTAGATGGTAATTGTTCGACATCTTCTCTTCTTGTCTCATTTCCATTCATGTATCAAGTTTGTCCCAGGAAGATCTCACACTTCCTGTGGCAATATTGCTTCGATTATCAAAGATACTAGGCAGGTATATTTCTGCGTCGGAAACGGTGGAATATATTAAGAATTGCCCGATCCTACTTGCCAATGGCAACGAACAATCTATCGCCGATATCACCCAAACCAGGAACAATCATGCCTCGTTCATTACATTTCTCATCCACCGCCCCTGTCCAGAACTCTACTCCCTCAGGCCAAGAGTCTACAGCCCGACGAATGCCCGTCTCGGAGCCCAGTACACTGAGCATTACCACTCGCTTCACTCCCCACTCACGCAGAAGGTGAATCGCCGCTTCGGCCGTGGCACCTGTGGCGACGATGGGGTCAAGAAGAATAGCTGTTTCTGCGGCGGCGGTGTTGGTGTCAGAGCCGTCCTGGCGTTGGTAGGGGAGGTTATTGTAGTATTCGACGGGTTGAAGTGTGAACTTCTCGCGGAAGAGACCTAGATGGTAGATGGGGACCGGGGCCGGGAGCAGGCTGTTAATTGCTAAAATGTTGTGCATATAGTGAGAATTTGGACCCTTCAGAGCTAGTCGGACAACGTACCCTCAGTCATGCCCAGTCCAGACCGAAGAATGGGTACCATGGCGACATTGGCGGGTTCAATATCTTGGGTATCATATTCGATACCTAACGGGGTTTGATCCTGGAAAGTGGATCAACATCGTCGATCCGATACGATCAGGGGTGATCAATCCTTACCGTTCCCCGCTTTGTAGTTTTCAATACCGTTGAGAAGGCCTCCACACCTAGAATGGTCGTGATCTCATGGACAAGGCTTCTTGTTTCGCGGGTAGAGGTTTTATGGGACCGTAGCTGGGATATCTTGGCTTGTAGGCACGGGTGGGATGAAATATGGACATTTGAGGGAAGAGACATCGTGGCTGACGTAGTCGGGAGTATCGTATGGTTCTAGAGGTCGTAGAAAGATAGGGGGATAAGGAAATGGGAGCTTGTGAGGGGGGAGAAGCAAGAAATATATACACATCAGAGAAGTGAGGGGTCGGGGTGTGTCGTGTCACCTGCTCAGGTACTGTACGGTATGTATGTATGTATGTATATGTACCTTGATGTCAGCGTCCCTTTGTTCTTCTCCGCTTAGAATTCCAAGTCACTCTGTTACCTTGTCATTCCTTCTCTCTCTTCTAATTCCTACTTTCTTTATCTCCACCTCTAGCCCCTCCCACTGTCGTTTATCGGGAACTGATAAGCTATCAACGATCACTTATCAGCTGTCTACCAACAACTAAATCATTGTTTATCCACTAAGATACCCACATACTACCATGACCCACTCCGTCCAATCTTCACTCCTTCCACACTGACTTTTCACAGCTCCTCATTTTCCTTCCCAACACTACCCTTCGCTACAGGGATTATGTGAATCATATCGCGCATTGTCATTCGACGTGCAATCCACAAGCTCAATGCCTGCCAACGACACTGAGCAGCTGCCTGAAACCCAAGCGCCACCTCCCACTACTGAAGAAGCTTCGCAGCGCCAAGCCTGGTCATCCGAAGGATATGGGTTGCCTCCCACCAGTGACAAGCCTCCTTACGGCCCCGTTGAACCAACGCCCTCACGAAGGGAACCTGTCGAAAGACCCCTCTCCAAACATGCTACGCACCTTTTCACTCTTTCATACCTGGTCTTCTTCGCTATTTTTGGCACTTTAGCACGTCTCGGCCTCCAAGCCCTGACCGCCTACCCGGGAGCGCCCGTGGTAACGGGCGTCCTCTGGGCCAACGTAGGAGGATCGCTACTGATGGGCTTCTTCCTCGAAGACAAGAACCTCTTTCGCGAAGAATGGGGTGATGTGAACCAGAACAACAACAACAACGGCACGGGAATAGACCCAAGCGCCGAATCGAAACGTCACAAGTCCATTAAAAAGACAATCCCCCTGTACATCGGCCTAACAACCGGATTCTGCGGCTGCTTTACCTCCTTCTCCAGCTTCATACGTGACATCTTCCTCGCGCTATCCAACGACCTGTCGGATCCCTCAACCCCCAATGGCGGATACAGTTTCATGGCTCTAGTAGCCGTCATCCTAATAACGGTCGCGCTCAGTCTCGGCGCACTCATTTTCGGCGCCCATCTCGCCCTCGCTCTCGATCCCTTAACCCCATCTTTCCCCTTCCGCTTCACGCGCCGATTCATAGACCCCCTCTTCATCGTCCTTGGCTGGGGATGCTGGCTGGGCGCCGTCTTCCTCGCAATATGGCCCCCGGATCGCCACGACAATGGACCTGAGTTCTGGCGTGGTCGCGCAGTGTTCGCTGTCGTTTTCGCGCCGCTCGGCTGCTTCCTGCGTTACTATGTTTCTCTAGTGTTGAATGCCCGACTCCCCGCTTTCCCGCTAGGTACGTTCGCCGTGAACATCTTCGGAACTATCATCCTCGCCATGTGCTATGACTTGCAGCATGTCGATGGCATCGGGGCCTCCTCGGTTGGCTATGGGGCTAGTTCGTCGATTCTCACGAGCTGTCAGGTGCTCGCTGGTGTCATGGATGGGTTCTGTGGTTCAGCAACCACAATTAGCACGTGGGTAGCTGAATTGAATGGGCTGAGTCGTCGACGGCATGCCTATTTCTATGGAACTGTCAGCATCGGGGTTGCGCTGGGATTTTTTGTAATTATTACGGGCTCCTTGAGGTGGACCAGGGGGTTCGTGGAACCCGTTTGTAAATGAGTTGTTAGACGTATGTATTCTATAGCTTTTCAAAGATGTATAGGACGACGATAAAACTTATAATTAGTCAAGAACATAATAGGTGCTACCATAACCTAATACTACTGCTACTATTGGTTGCTCTTTGACATGCACCACAACTATTTACCGTGTAACAGAATAATTGCATTCCCCGCTCAAACAAATTGTATTTTGTGCTAGAATTACTTATAGTACAGGGTACTACAATGCAAAACCATGTGCAAGCAAGCGGAAAGACCAAATAAACATTGTAAAGATAAAGATAAACAATTGAACAATCTTCAAGAACGGAATATCAAAACATGCAAAACAGTTGCGTCAAACAAGATAAAAAACGTCAAAAAAAAATATGAGGGGGGTGAGATAGAACGCAAACATTAACGGCGGGGACGGCATAGACACATAAACTCAGAACGGTTCTAACTCAAATACATTAGGGCAGAAGCTCAAAAAAGTAAAAATAGTAGACCAAAGTATATGAGAACGAGTGACTTGAAGAGAAGCTTTAAAGTGGTAAGATGAATATATAACGGACAAGGTATCAAATGATCAGGGGACAAATCGACTGGCAAATTGACCAAACACGCTGATGCGTAGAAGAGAAGCACTAAGGATTAAGAGTGTAATGATGAGTATCAAGAAAACAACAACTCCACCGAGTGCTAAAGTGAAGAACACACAGGACCAGCCGGGTGTCGAGATGTTGCCTTGGGAAACTGCCCGTAAAAACAAAAAAATGACCACACCGGACTCCTGTGAGCTCTTGCAAAAACCAACAGGAATGACCATAAACAACGCAAGGAAAGACGTAGCAAAATGATTAAACGATGAACAAACGTCAGTCAGGAGACACCAGCAAGAAGCATTATGCGGCGGTTCAGATCATAGCATTCCATAACCGGAAATCAAACTTCGCCGCCCACCTTCTTGCTCCTCCATCCCGACCCTAAAAATCCGAGATTCCGCCAGTGTCCAAATGCCCAGGAAACGAGAGGAAGAAAAAGAGAAAACGTTTAGTGATGAATGCGACCCGAGTCGGAGTGAGAAACACAAGAGGTAAAACACAGCCCCGAGGGCCAAAAGAGCATAACGGCGATAAAAAGAGTCGATTATAGTGTATAAAACTCCGAAGCCGACGTACTCATCGCCTAGTACGCCGTGCCTACACTAACAAGTGTCTTGGTTGGCATTGGGTGAATAGGTTGGTCCTTGGCGACGCGCAATGAGTCTTCGTAGCCAACCAAGGCCTGTGAATGAAGCTTGAACGATTCGCCCATGAGCTTGGTAATTCTGAGACGTTGTCAGTAACCTGGATTTCCAATATTGCGTGTTAGACAGGTTGAAACTTACCCCCATACTACCACTCCGTCTAGGATGTTACCCCATACACGGGCCACAGTGGAGCTAAGTTTACCAAAGGCATCGACGGCGTCATCATCGAACAAATTCCGCACCTTGTTGTAGATGGCCATCTCAGCCTCAGTCGCTGGCTCCTCGTCATGTTCCAGGCGATAGAGCCAGAGACTCAAGATGACCATCAGATCCAAACCACAGAGCGGATGCTCGACACTCCAGTTGGTAGCAGATGTCTTCGCAACCCAGTTAATTCCTTGGACAGCGGCAATCTCAATGCATTCGAAGCAGGACTGAATAACCTTGTTCATCTCCTGGGAACGCTTCACCTTCTCACGAGCAACTGTCATGGCAGCAGCCACTTCATAAGACGAATGGTACCGCAAGGCCTCCTGGATCGACTTAAGGTCGACCTCCAACCGAGCGCGCGTGTTGCGATAAACAGCCATAGAGTTGAAGATCAATGGATGACCTTTCTGAGGAGTGCTGAGGGGCACCACGATCGTCTCTGGCTCACAAACCTCAAGAGAGTTCTCCCATGTTTCGAGTGCGAGACGGAGCTTATATTCTGTCACAACGTCTTGCAAAGCCTCAAAGCTCCGCTTGTGGTTCCAGACCTGTAAGAACAGAGCGTTGATCAAGACACGAGTCGCAAAAGCGCTGTAACGAACTTGTTCACCTTGGAAGAGACAGTCGTGGGCTTCACGCACTGTGAGGGTAGTGGTCGAAGCCAAGCTACGGCGCCATGCCTCATCAT